GAACCCAGGCTGGGAAGTCAGTAAAAGAGAGAGAGACACTGTGCTAACAGGGGCCAAAGGATGAAAAGGAATCTATGAAGATCATACACAGCCTAAGCAGTCGGCCAGTATCCAGAAGGAAAACCCCAGACTGAAGCCTTGAGGCTGCAAAGGGAGGGACCCGGGCTCTGAGTGCCTAATGATGCCAGTGGAAGCGCCCCCCCAGCCAATGGCAGTGATGTTGACTAGCCAGGCAAGGTGCTGGGATGGATGAGCCAGAGCCTCGACCCACAAGACCTGGAGGAGGGCGAGGGGCTGTTCTTATCCAGGGTCCCAGGAAGAGAGGCTGGGCCTGAGCACCCACTGCACATGGAGCCTTGGATCCTCAGCATCCTGCTGAGGGTCACAGAGTGCCGGTGCTATGACAACGGGGCCACTTTTCTGACTCAGAGTGCCAGTTGGTGGAAGATGTTATTGTAAGTGTTCTTCCTTTCCCAAATGCAGTCCTGACACAGAGCAACATGCACCCCGTGGCTCTGTATGTTCCGGAAAAACTGTGACTGAAATTCAGGAGCTGGCACTCTAGTCCCAGCCTGGTTCTGCCGGAGGTGGCATCTTGGGCTGCCATGGGCCTCAGGTTTCCTCACCTGCCTGTCCAAGGGGCATGGGTGATGATCAGATCAGAGACTGAACACCCCACCCACACATGCAGAGGCTCAAAACAGGGCCGAGGCACCATCCCGCCCCAAAACACATTTTTAAACTCTTAGCAGCTAATGGTACTATTAACTCGATATTCATCATCTCATTTTGGTCCTACAACAAACCCAGTGCAGCCACCGTCTCTGAGTCACAGAAAGGAAAGGGGGACCCGGCAGGCTGAATATCTTCCACACAGTCACACTCACTAGTTAACAAGAGAACTGAAGCAGCCCAACCATCAAAGAAAAGCCCAGGTCCTGATGGATTCACTGCTGAATTTTACAAGATATTTAGAGAAGAACTACTGCCATTACTCTTCAAACTTTTCAATGAAATCGAAAGGGAAGCTATACTTCCAAATTCATTCCTGGAAGCAAGTATCACTTTGATTCCCAAACCAGGGAAAGATGCAACTAAAAAGGAGAACTACAGACCAATCTCCTTAATGAGTATAGATGCAAAAATCCTTAATAAGATACTAGCAAACAGAATACAGAGGGTTATTAAGAAGATCATCCATCCTGACCAAGTCGGATTTATTCCAGAGATGCAAGGGTGGTTCAACATACGAAAGTCAATAAATGTAATACATTATATTAACAAAGTCAAGGACAAAAACCATATGATCCTCTCAATAGATGCAGAAAAAGCATTTGATAAAATTCAACACCCATTCATGATAAAAACCCTGCAAAAAATTGGAATAGATGGTCTATACCTCAATTTAATAAAGGCTATTTATGAAAAACCATCAGCCAACATCATATTGAATGGCCAAAAACTAAAAACCTTCATGTTAAAATCAGGAACAAGACAAGGATGCCCACTATCGCCACTTCTCTTCAATATAGTTCTGGAAACATTAGCCACAGCAATTAGACAAGAGAAAGAAATTAAAGCAATAAAGATAGGAAAGGAAGAAGTTAAACTATCATTATTTGCTGATGATATGATACTCTACATTGAAGATCCAAAAAACTCCACCAAAAAACTTCTAGACTTAATTGACAGATTCAGTAAAGTATCTGGATACAAGGTGAATACCCAAAAATCAATAGCCTTTCTATACACAAATAACAGACAGACAGAAAGAGAAATAAGGGAAAAAATTCCTTTTACAATAGCATCCAAAAAAATGAAGTATCTAGGAATCAATCTAACAAAAGAAACAAAAGATCTCTACACTGAAAACTACAGCACTCTGAAAAAAGAAATCGAAGAGGATATAAAAAAATGGAAAGATATCCCCTGCTCCTGGGTAGGAAGAATCAACATAGTGAAAATGGCCATACTACCGAAACTGCTATATACATTCAATGCAATGCCAATTGAAATTCCAACACTATATTTCACAGAACTAGAAAAAAGAATCCAAAAATTCATTTGGAACCACAAGAGACCTAGAATAGCAAAAGCCATTATAGGCAACAGTCACATGGCACCAGGTGTAACAATTCCCAATTTGAAACTATACTACAAAGCCACTGTGATAAAATCAGCATGGTACTGGCAAAGAAATAGGCCTGAGGATCAATGGAACAGACTGGAAGACACAAAAACAAATGCAGATGTACTCAGCTACCTCATCTTCGACAAAGGAGCTCACCATCCTCAGTGGAGGAAAGATAGCCTCTTTAATAAATGGTGTTGGAAAAACTGGATATCAACCTGTCACAGATTAAAATTAGACCCTTATCTTTCGCCATGCACTAAATTAAAATCCAAATGGATTAAAGATCTAAATATTAAAACAGAAACATTAAACTTGCTGGAAAGTAAGTTAGGCAGAACTCTGGAAGACATTGGTATAGGAAAAGACTTTATGAACAAATCCTCAGTAGCACGGGAACTAGCAGAAAGAATCAACAACTGGGATCTCATCTTACTAAAAAGCTTCTGTACTTCAAAAGAAACCATTAGCAGAACTAAGAGACAATCTACAATGTGGGAAAAAATTTTTACCAGCTGTACCTCAGACAAAGGACTATTATCAAGGATATATAAAGAACTCAAAACAATCAGTCCCCCCAAATATAAAGACCCGATCCAAAAATGGGCATCCGAAATGAACAGACATTTCTCATACAAAGAAGTGAAAGCAGCAAGAAAATATATGAAAAAATGTTCCACATCACTGGTCATTCGAGAGATGCAGATGAAAACAACACTGAGATTCCACCTCACCCCACAAAGAATGGCTGCTATCAAGAAATCACACAATAACAAATGTTGGCGGGGTTGTGGGGAGAAAGGAACCCTCCTCCATTGTTGGTGGGAGTGCAGACTAGTGCAACCACTATGGAAATCAATATGGAGATACCTCAAAGAGCTTGGACTGGAGGTTCCATTTGACCCAGCCATCCCTCTGTTGGGTATCTTTCCAAGAGAACTAAAAGAATCATATCACAGAGAAGTATGTGCACCCATGTTTATAGCGGCACAGTTTGTAATAGCTAAATCTTGGAAACAACCTATTTGCCCATCCGTTGGAAACTGGATAAAGAAGTTGTGGTTTTTCTATAAAATGGAATATTACTCAGCCATAAAGAGCGAGAGAATAGATTCATTCATAGGAAAATGGATACATATTGAAGATATACTCCTAAGTGAAATAAATAAGTCACACATGTGTAAATACTGAATAGTTTCTCTGGTGTGAATAATCTGTAATAATACATAAGATCCTAATAAGATTACTGGCATTTTGAAAAGGGAAGAAAGGAGATAAGGTGTAGGGAAGGTGGGATGATTTTTAAGGGAGGGCAGGGGTAAGGGGAAAAAATGAGAACCAAGGCCTGTCATGTAGAGGTACAAGATCCCAACAATGAATGTAACTGTACTGTATCCCTAAAATGTACCAATAAACTCAATTAAAGAACTGAAGTAGCCCGGCTGCTCTGTCTCTGCAGACCCCAAGCCCTTGAACTCCATGCTGTGCAGCCTTGGGGTGAGCCTGGACCACTGTCATAGGAACCACACCCCTGGCACTGGCCCATCTCAAACACAGCAGAACCACTTTCCCAGCCTGCCTGTGCTGTCTTCCTCTTGTCCCATGGGAGCCCCTCTTTCCCTGTGCACCCCCAATCTCCCCAGGGGTCAGTCCCATCCCTGCCAATGGTTCCACCTGACAGGCCAAGGCAGGAGCCTGCAGCAGCTCCCCAAGAAGCACCCAGCCCGGCACGCGGAAGCTTCACTCTCCGGAGTTCCAGACGGCTCACCGTTCCCTCCTCCCCCACCCCCACTCTTCTCCTTTCTTTTCCTTTTTTTTCTTTTTGAACCCAGGGCCTCAGCTCTGAGCTCCATCCTAAAGCCTTTTCTGCGTTTCATTTTTTACTGTGAAGTTGCACAGTTGGGCTTAAAGTTTCGATGCTCCTGCCTCAGCCTCCCAGAGTGCTGGGATTACGGGCACGCGGCAGAGTGTCCGGCGTATTTCCTGTCTTAATGAGAGACATTTACCTAGATTACTGCAAAGCCTTCCAGGAGCTCCCCTCTCTGCCTCCACCATACTCCTCCTCCCACACTGTCGAAGTTACCCTTCTACACCGAGGCCTGACCACAGCTGCCCCCTACGGTAAAGCTCCTGTTCAGGTTTCAGCTCCGAATTATCAAAAAATTACAATGCTCTGCTTTCATTCATGCATCTAACAAGACTCACCCAGCCCCTTTCACCTGCAGGCACCACTTGACTGGCGCTCAACTTAGCACGATTCAGCTGTCACCTTCTCACGCGGTTCACAGAGAATGGCATGAGATAGGAAGCTGCTGGAGCCCGAGCCCCCACATCACCGCCTCCCTCAACACCGGCACCCCTGCGAGAAGGTATTTCACAGATGAGTAACTTAAGGCTCACAGGGGTTCATGTGCCCGACAAGTAAGTGCTAGCATCAGATTTCAGTCGCAGAGCCCTTGGATTCAGCTTTACAATTGTTTTCCCTCCAGGACCACACTGCAGTCACAGCCCGAGTGGGTCATTTGAGGACCTTCCCCATGTGGGCCAAGCCACGAGGCAGCACCCTTCAATAGCTGCTTGAAATTCAACTGGGACTGGCAGAAGCCACCCTGCCCTTGTACAGATTTGTCCTTGCCGTTTTCTGCTTACAAAAATCCTCCTCCTAGGCCAGGGATTTAGCTCAGAGGTGCCGCACCTGCCTGGCAGGCACAAGGTCCTGAGTTCAATCCCCCCTAAAAAAAAAAAAAAAAATCCTCCTCCCCCAACCTCCTCCTTTCCTGACGAGTTCCCCTGCCAGGGCCACACCTTTTCTGGGGGAGCACCCTCCCAAAGATGTCCTATCTGGGTTGAATCTCAGGATGCCACCCACCTCCCCTGGAGTGGCACAAAATGGCCACGTACAGCAGACAGCTCGGTTCCTCTGTGGTGACTTCCTGTCCTGAGGTGAGCGGCTGCATACTGTGGAGGTTAGACTCATACAACAGTCACTTCCTTGGGGGTGCGGCCCACACCTCATCTCTTTGCTTGGCTGCCAGGCTAACCGCTCTGCAGAGGCCGAGGCCCTGAAGAGCTCATGTTGCAGCGGGAGTCAGGCCAGCGATTCTGTCCCTCACTGTCCTCCAGTGACACTTGAGCACGACAGAGGGGGTTTCCCTCTAACCTTTCTGTCATGGTCCTCAAGGCAGCATCCAGGACAGCTCGGTCACCACTGCTGCAGAGCCGCCCTCAGGAAGGAAGGCCCTGTCGCCATCCACCTCAGAACCAGGGCTGACCTGGCCACCTGCCCAGCTCCCACGGGTGTGGAGAGCACAGAGGTGCAGCTTCAGGACTTCTGGAGAATGGGTCCTGGCGCTCCGCCCCTCCCTGGAGCCAGACTGCAGGTGCCTCCTTGCTGGTCAGTCCTGCTGCGAGGGAGGCCGTCTGAGGGACAGTGAATCACTGGCAGCAGCTCTCCTGCCTTCCCATGCGGCAGGGAATCTGTGAAGAGCGTGGGACAGGCTCGCCCAGATGTAGTCAGAGTGGGTGGGGAGAGCGGGGAACTGGCTCCTCCCATTAGCGCACTTGGGAGGACTTTCCAGAACAGCTTCCAAAAGTGGCAAGAAAGACAGGATGGTGTATGTGAAGTAAGAGGGAGTATCTGCGGGAGGGGAACGGCAATGTGGCTTTCACTAGAATACACTGTAACGTTCACTTTCTACGCTCACAACTGGCATTCTCGGGGGGGCAAGATGCTTGAGTGCCATCCGCGGGGAGCAAGGCTCAGAGAAACACCACGGGGGTCCTCAGGCACTTTGCCTGCTGGCACCGTGTGACTTCTGGCTCATGACTAAAGTCAAAATAACCACGAAAGGCAAATGTTTTAATCGATTCAGGACATCAAGGCAGCCACAACAGCACAATTAAAGATGCTCACAAAAAAGAAAAAAAAAAAAAAAAACTTTTTGAAAAAATAAGCCCCAAACTTTCCTGACCTGGATAAAAATTGTAAACTCGCAAATCCAAGAAATGCAGTGAATCCCAAGGACAAGAAACATAAACTTCAGCAAGGCACATCATAATTAAAATGTTCAAAACCAGTGATAAAAAGACATCTTAAAAACAGCTAAAGAAGGAGATATGCCAAAGAACAGAGAGAAATACAACAGATTTATTGCTGAAAACAATGCAAGTATGAAAATAATGAAGCACACTTTTAAAGCCGTGAACAAAAAATAATTTTTTTAAACCCAAACCTGTCAACCCAGAAATTTCTACCCAGTAAAATTCTTTCACAAAGATGGAAATAAAGGCTTTTTTTGGACAGGAAAATCTCACAGAATGCATTATGAGCATCCCCACAATAATAGATATGTCAAAGAAAGTCCTTCCTACAGAGGAGCATTTGACATCTCTGTGGAAACCTAGATTGACCCAAAGTGTGGGAAAAGTACCAGAAATGGTAACCACATAGACAAATATATAGTTTCTTTTTGTTATTTAAATCTAAATGTAATTGGCCACTTAAATAAAATGGTAGAAATGTAATATGGGGCTTGTAACATATAAAGAGGGGAAATAGAGTACATTTCATATACCGTAAGATTTTTATATTATACATGAAGTGGTATAATATCACTTGACAGGTAGACTGAGATAAACTAAATATGTGTACCATAAACCCTAGGGTGACCAACCATTAAAACAACATAACAAAGGGCTAAATCCTGTGGGCTAAAAGTAAGAGAGAATAGAATCATAAAATATACTCTGTTAATCAAAAAGGGGGACAAAACAGGGAAAAGAAAAAGGGAAGAGCAAATGGAATATAAAAATATATTTGTCAAAGACAGATTTAGAAACTAACTCCATCAATAATCACATTAAATATATTTGGCTAAATACTTTAATTCAATGGTACAGATTATCAGATTGGATTTTAAAAAACAAACAAGATGCAATTCTTGGCTGCTTACAAGACACAACCTTGAAAAACAACCATGTACCACACGAAGTTCCCGTCAACAGTAAGCCCCATGTCTGGTAGGGTCCTGTAAGACCACAATGGAGCCAGAAGTTCCCACCACCTGGTACATCTTCTGTACTTTCCCTATGTTTAGATATTCAGATACTTTTACTGCATCACCGCTGCCCACTTATTCAGCAGGGCCACATGCTGGTCAGCTTGTCGCCCAGAAGCAGTAGGCATAGACCAGGGGTGCCGGTGGCACCTGCAAGGTCCCATGAGCGCACTCTGACACTTGCCCAAGTGACAAGAGAGATCAGGGACACGTCTCGGAGCAGGCCCCACCATCAAGCAGTGCCCAACGTATTAAGACCCAAAGAGCCTGAAGATAACGGAAAGAGGAAAGAAATACCACGCTGACCATAGTCAAAACAAAGCTGTGCAGTTATATTAATGTCAAAGTAGAGTTCAGATCAAAGAATGTTACCGAGGATGAAGGTGCACTGATGATAAATTAACCAAGAGGACATATTAATCCTAAAAGTTTATGCACCCTATAATGGAACTCAAAACACAAGAATGTAGATCTGTGAGGAGAAATCCGCAAATCCACAGCGAGTGTTGACATTTCTACATTGTTCTCTCAATAAACAAAACGAGTAGAACGTGGGCACCGTGTACTTCAGCAAAGGCCGGCTGCTGTTGTCACTTGTTACAATTCCCAGTGATAAACATCTTTCGGAAGAGATTCAGGGCCCTGCACTTCCCTGGAGGTGTGCGGGTGTCTGTCTACTGGGGGACTTTGTCAGAGCCCCTGGCCTCTAGGTGGGACACCCAACCCTGAGCTCTTCCCCTTCCTGCTCCTGGGCTCCCCCGTGTGGTGACCCTGGGTTCAACACTGGCAGTCCGGCAGAGGACTGGGGCAGCACCTCCTCTTCCAAAGGGCCTGGAAGGGCAGAGCCCTGGGTAAGGGACACAGTGGTGAATGCAGGAGGGAGGGTGGGGCTGGAGCCAAGATACTCTGCACTCCCAACAAGCAGAGTCACCTGTGCTGCTGAGGGCAGGGGCATTCCGGGGGGGGCCTGCTCAGGAATGACTGGTCAGGGGTATATGTGTGAGTGATCGGGCCAGGCTGACCCCCCTGGAGTTCTGAGAGCTCCTGTCCCTCAGGCAGGGTGGGGACAGGCCATCTGCAGACTGGAGCAAAGACTTGGGCCTCCATGTTAGAGGAGAAAACTGTAGGCTATGGAGCAAAAAGCAGCACCCAAGCCACAAGTCACAGGGGCCTGGCTTCCTATCCAGGATGACATTTCAACTTTCCAGTACTCAGAGAGCTGGCAGAACCGGACCATGGAGGATTTTGCACACTAATCTGGATTTAGACTCATTCTGAGGGCAGCAGGAAGCCACTGAGGGTTTTTATGGCCCTGGGTTGTCACCCCAGGACACTTGCCCCATGGCTACATACCTCCTCGTGGGGCCGCCTAACCAGCCTGGGGACGGTCCCATTTCTCAGAGGAGACACCTGAGGCCCAGAGGAGCTAGGAGGCTGACGTGGGACCTAGCACAAATCTTTCATCTACACCATCAGGATTAGAACCTAGTTCTTCAGTCAGCCTGGCCAGCTTCTTCCTTTTCCTTAAGACAATCATTACCTTAGACCACATAGCAACATCTCATGGTCAAACAGCAAAAAAGCAAAGAGCAAAAGTTGAAAGTCTCATAATAGCCCTCTCAACTCCACCTCCCGCATGGTGAAATCCCTTCTGACCAGTCTACTGAGCACCTTCCGGGTTCTCACATCGTGTGCTGCACACACGCACATGTACGCACACACACACATGTACACTCACACGTACACGGTATAAATGGCTGGTCCTATACGCGCTGTGGCGTGTCTTGCTTTCACTTTGCACTACTCCCTGCCTGTACCTAAGGACCCATCTCTCCTTTGGAAGGGCACCGTAGTACCAGTTCCCATGGCTGGGATTTCCTTCCCAGCATCCCTAGAGTTCTCTCCATGGCTCCCAAGGGCCCCAGAGCGCCCCCTGGAGCCCAGGCACCAGATGGCCAGACAGCAGCCTCAATACCCTGGAAGGGTTTCAGAATAGGACCTGGCTCAAGTTATTTGTGGAATGAATGAGCATCAGTCTTTAAGACACTTTTTTTTTTAATTATGAGATTAAGTATTAACTCAATGCACATCTGGGAAATAATTCAAAGTACATCAAAGCAGTGATTTAAGGATATTTAAACTTTTCCTTTAACAAAAATCTATTTAACTAAGTGAGTCTACTCAGAGAGAACTGGAGCAAATAACATCACGGGTGGAACACGATTAAGGCCACAGTGCGCAGTGTCTGAGTGTAGCCTGGGAACTGCCGTGGGCCTGACCTGTGAGCTCAGGGGCCTGCAGAGCTGGGTTGGGAGCAGGGAGGTTTCTACTCTGGCTGCAAAGGACTTGAGTAGGAGGGAGTTTGTCCCTTGGAATCTGAGCATTTCATGCCCCAGAATAGTGACACCAAAGGCCAGAGCTGCCAGGGCCCCCCAAGGGGCCAGAGGGTTAGACAGGAGTTAGCAGTGACGTGCAGGTCAGGCACACTTGGTCCTCAGGTCGGCTTCCCCAGAGGCAATGAAAGAACTGGACCAAGGCATCAGAGGTCACTGTGAAGGCACCGAGGAGCCACTGTTGGTTCTCATCACAGGGGTGGGTGACGTGACAAGAGCACTTCCTTTCCCAGTGCTAAGGACTGAAGCCAGAGCCTTGTACATACTAGGTGAGTGCTCTACCACAGAGCTACATCCCCACCCTTCTTATTTTTGAGACAAGGTCTCACTAAGTGGCCTATCTGGTCTCAAACATGTGATCTCAACTCACCCTCCAAAGTAGCTGGGATTATAGGAGTATGCCATCATGCCCAGATGATATGAGCACTGTTTTTGTTTCAGTACTGGAGATTGAATCCCGAGCCTCACTGCATCCCCAGACTGTTTCTATTTTGCTAAGTCACTAAGTTGCCCAGGCTGGACTTGAACTTGTGATCCTCCTGCAGCCACCTCCAAGAGTGCTGTGTTACAGGTATGTGCCACCATGCTCAGCTAAGAGTACTTTTAAAACCACCAAAAACATAAATCCTTTCAGGGCATGCCCCCAAATAAAGGAACTATAGCTGTTTTAGC